GAAGATGGCAGGCCGGCGAATAACTGCTCCAGCGCCACCTGCCCGACGACTTCCTCAGCGGAGCGCACCCACGGCTGGAGCCAGCGGCTCCCTGCATCCCGGAGCCGCTGCGCGTAGGAGAAGGGCCGGTCAGCGTCCTCGAAGGGGAGGGCCCGGAACCGGCGGCGATGTCCCTCTGGCGTGCTGCCAAGCCGGTCCAGTATGGCCTTCCTCAGATGCCGGTACACATGCCGAGAGGCTGCTGGCAGGCTGTGGGCGGCTAGCTGCGCATCCCCAGATAGCAGAGGCAATAGCCGGGCCGGCCACTCCTCCTCTGGCCACCCGCACACCGCCGCTGTGCCCTCAAAGATGTCCAGGTATGCCTCCGGATCATCCTCTGCCGTCAACTTCTGGAGGGCAATTGAAGGCGTTCGGGCCGGGTTGGTCGCGGGATCGGCCTCCTGAGCGGTCGGACGCTGCAGCAGCTCCCGTAGGAGAGCCCGGTCCTTGCGCTGGCTCGAGGCGATCCCAAGCAGAGCCTCGCTCTGCTGTCGCTGTAATGCTATGGTGGTCTCCTGCATCTGAGCGAGACGTTGGAGGGCCTGCCCCAGCGGGGTTTCTCCTTCCGCCATGATGTCCCTGTTCAGGTGCCACTGTGAGCCTCTCCGCTCACACAGGGTTCAATTATGGACGGAAGAGCAGGTTCGTGTAACATATATGGCGTTTATTAGCTCCAAACAAAAGTATCCACTACTCCAACGTTGCCCGCGTGGCAACCTTCACAGGTCCTTTTGCCCCCTTCCAGGATCCCGCCTACTGCAAAAACAGACCAGAACCAGGTTACGACATGCTTTTATTCCGGCACTGATTACCTGATTCCGATCAGCTGTCTGGCCTCCGGCCGAGCCACTCCCTTCACTCCAGCAGCCGGCGCCCTAACCCCACCCCGCTGCCACATAGTCTAACAGGAACTTCATTTGTGTTGTTTTGTGTTTTACGTTGCACCTCAGAGACAGTGTGATTATTGTCAGGCCTATAAAGTTTGGCAAAAAAAAAAAGTCAGCTGATCAAATGCATTCGCCTCACTTTATGAGCTTCACAATACTTGTGCCTTGTACCGCGGAGTTTGGAACGTCATAAATAAATGGTACCAATCTTCAGTCAGATGTGAATGTGTAATCTAACATTTTCAGTAAGAATAACGGACAAAAGAAGTGCAAATACAATTTATTGAAATGTGAACTAAAAGTTATCAAGCATGAACCATCACCATTTTTTTTTTAATAAAAACGAAATAATATACATAAGTTACACTAAATGTTAATCTGTTAATTGATTAAGTAAACACATCTTGTCAAATAAAGTGACAGGCTAGGCCTGTGCAGGTGGTAACAGCTATGCCCAGCATGGGCTAAGTTCTGTAGGTGCAGCTGGTGCAGGTCCTCCTCCATCAGGCCTGGTCCTTCTCCCTCAGGCCTGGTCCTCCTCCCTCAGACCCTCAGCCCTCTCCGGCCAAACCAACAGACAGGACGTTCATAAAGCTGAGGTTTCCCCCAAAGTCTCTAATCATCCATCCTGTGAATATGAGAGGGGAACAAAATTGTGTAATAGTCTTTGAGTTTCATGAAAAGCTATATAAAAGTCCCATGTATTATTATTATTATTATTAGATGCTTTGGACAATAAGAAATATAAAGTTAACTGTTGAGTTGCTCCGTTTTTTAGATTGAAAGGGTTTAATAATACAAACAAAAGGAGAGGCACCGTAAAATAAAGATTGGTTTTTCAATAAATTGTGTTGATTTTGTCTTTTGAATTATTTTTCTAAAGTCAAGTAGCTAGAACTGTTACTTATAGTTTGAATGATACAGTCTGGTTATAATGTTTGGAGGAGGCATCACAGGTAAGAGCACCATTTGTTGTGTTCCATCCACAACAGATGGATGTGTGTGTATTTATTTATTTACTATTTCTTGAATTATTACTGTCAGTCCAAAACAAGAGATTTTGTTTTAGTAACGTTTAAAAAAAAAAAAAACATTATCTCTTTCACTACACTATCTTGAATACTTTAGTTTTTACGTCACTACATTTATCTAACAGCTTTAACATTGTAAAGGTGTCACTTCGGACTCTGGGTAATTATGACAGCATGTCCTACTCAGAGCCCTAGAGTCTCTAGGGCTCTGGTCCTACTATTTTGAGACTTTGAACAAACCAGACCTTCATCTATTAATGTAGAAAATAGTCAGCACATTAAACCATTATGAAAGTAAGAATTAGTTAGCTCATTGTTCAAAATGAGCTCCAACTACAACAGTTAAGTCAACTCGTGCATCGGTAATAACAATAAATCAAATGATATAATATAATAGTATAACTTGTGTCTACTTTAAATACTTTAACAACACTTTCCTAATTATACTAGCATACTTTTACTAAAGTAACATGTTTAAATGCAGGGCTTTTGTAAGAGAGTATTTCGTATAGTGTAGCATGGTCTACTTGACTTATCTAACCGAAGTGATTGTTACGTTACTTTGCAAACCGTCTCCCCCCTCCCCTCACACACACAAAAGGACACGGTAACGTTGTGATTCACTTCAATTAATGATAAACTACGGAGCTTGCTAACAGCAAGGCACAAGGCTACTTCACTAATTTAGCTAGCTAATGTAAGATACAAATGCTGTCGAGCCCTCACTGCTTGTAAAATAAAGAGCACAAACTGACAACTTACCCGAGCGGCGAGCCCCGCTGTTCTCCGTCATTTTTCTCCCGGGTTGTTGTGATCACATGACTGACAAAGCCGTGTTCTGATAGGCCAGAAGTCAGTTTGATTGCATTAGGGCTCGATTGCTTATCCTGTCTGAGTAGCTCGGATGATGCTGCATCGCAATTTTGGACATCGAATTTTATACACCGAATTTTTGGGATCTGAATTTGAACATTCAAATTTTTTTCACTTGAATTTTTACATTTTTATTTCACATAGGTAAATTCGGAGCAAAAACATTCAGATACATGATTTTCAAAGTAATTATTTTCAATGCTATAAATTCGGTGTCTAATAAAATTCAAATACTTCTGTCTCTTGTTTGCTTCCATAGCTAGCCTACATTTAATATCTCCCTCACTTGAGAAATGATTTAACTTACATGTAAGACAGTATTTTTATATTGTTTTAAGTTATATCTCAAAGTGGAACGTTTGTGTTGCAAACGTTTTCTCGAAAAGTCGAACCTAAAATGGCGGCAGGAGGCGCGTTTTCTTTCTTCTTTTTTTACCGCATTTCTGGGCATGTTTTATTAATGTAGAGGCATAGAGGATTAATTTGATCCACTACAATGTACCATAACCGTGCGTTCGGCATGTTTGTAAAAGCAAGCTAACTTGAAACACTAGACCAGGGGTACTCAAATACAAATCTTAAAGGTCCAAAATAAATGTTTCAATAAGACAAAGGTCCGTTTATTACGGTCATTCAAACTTTTAAACAATTGCAACAAGATTCTTAACACGAGGTTGCAAAAACAAAAAATAATCTGTATGCAGCCGTTTTCATTGTTATTGTGTCTGTGCTTGACCCCTCAGAGTCGCAGTGTAAGAGCTGCACAGTTATGAATAAAGGCAGCTGCACCCTCTTTCATTCAGCATTCCCATTATTGCTTTATAAATGTCTTGCCCCCTTGTGCGTCCACTGAGGTTCGTCAGGCCCAACACATCTTCAACAAACTCCCCCTTTGCCTCATCATAACAACTCACAAACACCAGCAACTGAGCATTGTCAGTGGTGTCAGTGGACTCACCCACAGCTAAGGAAATGCACTGTGCATTTTTTATTCCATCACAAAGCTGATGAATCAAATCACCAGCCAGTATTTATGTTCTTCTGGTTGCTGTGGAATCTGAGAGGGGGATTTGCTTGATTTGACCTGTTATTTCCTCTTTTTGTTTGCCTTCAACATGGTCTCCATCACTTCAGTCATGCATTCTTTTATACTGCAGTTATTATCCAGTGGAAAGTCCTTACCTACTGGCCTAGTTCAATCAAAGTGGTTACTTTTTTTTGGCTGGGCAGTGTAGTTTTACACAACGTCTGATTTGACTTTCTCAGGACTTAAAACAGTTTTTTGGGGGCAGACCCCCTCAAAGAAAAAAATATATTTACACACGTAAGGTCATCATCTTAATAGTTGTGTATGCTCATCCGTGAGCAGAGCATCAAGTTGGCATGTCTATTACAGCTGAATGCGGCGATTACCATTTTGTTCAGCGAAACGCCTCACAAACGTATTAAGATCAACAGCTTCAGTGCGTTTTGATTAAATGCTGAGTACAGCCAAACTGACAGTCTCTTCTCTGTCAGTGTAGACCGCAAATACCTCATTCCTTCAGCGCTTGGGTTCGAATGCTTCTCGTTTTGCGCCGTCCAGTTCAAAATGAAATCGCCGCCAATCATATTTCCACGCTCGCGCCAGGACCGGGGGAGGGGTTACATGACGTGCATCTTGTGCTGCATTCACTTGCACTCGGACATTAGATACTTTCTCTCATAAATGTCCGATGAGCCACAACTTTTCTTTCAAAACAAAGCTGCCAACTGGGGTGGCAGCTGGGGTGGCAAGGCCTATTTTTAGGGTGTCAGTTGCCACCCCGGTAGGTGAAACTAGGCTACTAGCTACAGTACAGATGGAACTAGATGAGCTGTTAACTCTCGCTCTGAATTTTTTTTTTTTAATTCTCGCTCTGACTTAGACAGGTTGAAAGAGACACACACATTTTTCCCACCCGCAGTCCGCGAAGACCCGCCCTACTGTGCCTCTGATTCGCAGATTGTTTGGGGGGGAAAAAACGCTGACTGGATGCTGAATGTGATTGGACCAAAGCGTTGACACACACAGGTGGAACACAGTGGAACAGTCAGACATGCAGAGCGCTGTTTGCAGTGGACATAGCGGAGAATTTTTGACTCGTTGCGAATGCGTTGTGGCGATGTCTCACATATAATACAGAGAGATAATACATATGAAAAGTATAATTTGCTCAGAGTCCGGAGACAGTGGTAGTTCGGTCCGGATCCGGACCGGAGTCCGTAGTTTGAGGATGCCTGCACTAGACTATTCATTTTACAAGGTAATTTATACCCCCCAGCGTTTTCAAATACTTGTAACTCAGCAAAGGTAATGATCGTGCAGTGATGATACTAATACTTCTAGAATCTCAGCTTTAATCTGATATCTTGTATGCGCAGTTACGATAAGTAGCCTATAATAAAGTATTTCTACCGTGAGTTCTGTGCGCTAATTTAGACTAATTTAATAGTGAGACTTGTGTTTGTTTCGGTAAAAATGGTTCGTATCTTCAGTTAGCTGAGTTTCGTTAAGTGGGTATGACACATTAATAGGTTTTTAAATGTTAAGAAGCCCCTGAGACAACGTTTCGTGTACAAGAAGCCCTTGGTACCGGGGGCTGCCGGATTTAACAGATTAATAGTCTAGTGTTTCAAGTTAGCTTGCTTTTAAAAACATGCAGAACGCACGGTTATGGTACAACGTTAGTGGATTAAAATGAACGTAAATCCTCGTTGTATTAACTTATATGCCTCTAAGTTAATAAAACATGCACAGACATGCATGCTGTAACAAAAAAGAAGAAAAGCGCGCCGCCTGCCGCCATTTTAGGTTCGAAAATAGTGTTTCTCATTTTGTGAAAACTTTGTAACTCAGCTAACCTTCAATGTTTTTTCTCTTAAGGAAACTGACGCAACTGGCAGATATATGGCTTCTTCAATCTGGTAAGCCTCACAGTGGAGAAACTGTGACGCGCTGGGGGGGTTGCGAGTGGAGCCTCGCAGCGGCGCAACTGTGGCATGCTTACGGCCCCTACACACACGGCAGCGGGCTTGTCTGAAGCTCGACCAACAACCAATTACATGAATATCCCGCCCCGGACACACAAGCACGCGGTTTGATTGGCTAGAGCTTGTACTGGCATATGATTTGATTGTCACAATGCAGTTTGGCAAAGCGTGAAGTCACTCCATTCAAAGTGAATGGAGTGAAGTTACGGCCCCTACACATGGCGGCGTGTGTTGACGCTTCTGCCCATTCACTTTGAATGGGGTGGCGTCACGCTTAGCCGAACTGCATTGTGGGAGCAAAGCGTAGCTTTCATGTGATTGGTTGTTGGTCTAGCTTCAGACATGCCCGCAGGCAAGCGTCAACGCACGTCGCCGTTTGTAGGGTGCCTGTGAATATTGTTACGTTTTCCAATGGCTTGGAGATGCAAACTTTGTGCTGCTGTCTTTGATACAAGGGCAGAGTTACTTGAACATTATAACATTATTATTCCCTTGATTTAAAAGTTAATGCAGACTACCTTTGCCCTGCGGCGCAATGAGATCATCAATGATGAGCTACCTGTTGGAGAGATCCTGGAACGCTGGCCTGCCTTGAAAATGGAGTCACAGGTGAAAATATTTTATTTATTACAACTATATAATTATTTTGTGTCCCATTGACATGTTTACTCAGATTTAGCATGTTATGTTTCTGTTTATCTCTGCTGCCTTCAGTCCACATATACATTGTACTGTGAATTAAATAGTCATTTTATATTTTGGCAGAGTTTCACAGGATAACAAACCTCAACCTGAATAACCACTTCTATGCGGAGTTGGATAGACATGTCCTCCATCTTCAGAGCCTGTTCAGGAAGAAGGCGGCAAGCAAGGAAAGGAAACTGAACTTCTGGATCAGCTATTCGCCTCCTATGACCTCCAGGTGAGTCGGTTATGCCTCTTGGTGTTTTATTCTCATACTAGAGTGGATTATCTTTGTCAAAATGTTAATCTCTTCAGTCATGGAAGAGCCCTTTCTTGTGATATCAATTGTTGTGTGGTTATACTGTTTAGCATCCAAAGTAAAACAAATATATGTTCTCACACTCAAGGAGCAAGGTGACGTCCATGTCCTCCGTGCTCTGCCTGAATATCTGCAAGAAGATGACTCCACGTTTCCGAGGCTGTGGCATGTAAGTCAGCATAATAACTGTTTTGAATGTATGTGACAGATCATCCACAAATATAGTTTATCTTGTTACATTGTTTCAGGAGCTCTATCGCAGGTAGACAATTATTTGAATTTTTATAGTGAAAAAATTATAATAAATGATAGATTTAGTTTGAAAAAGTATGAACTGTCCTGGTGTCATCAAAGCTTGATTCTGTCACTCAGGTGTTGTTAATCAAACATTATATCTTGTTTTGCTCACATCCCATTCAGGTTCTAGTTCCAAGATTTGAATATTGCCATAATAATTGTAATTATTGTAAGGTACACAATGGACATGTTGAACATAATCTCCCTTTACTTCAACACTTCAGAGGTGTTGAATATGATTTCTACTTAAGGATTTATTTGAAATTAAGCGTGTATAAAATGGGCTCAGGTGATTTAATAAAATACACAATCAAGAGAGGGCTTTCTTTCCTGCAGCATCAGTGTTCAATACAAAATAATCTCTAGTGTTCCCCATATATTTTTGTATGTGTAGTAAGGAGAGATTATACTGACCCAAGTTCCCATCGGCGAAAACACGTGGGTTTGCTGTCCTGGCTCCAAGATGGTGGAATGAGCTCCCCATTGACATCAGGACGGCAGATAGCTTGCACATCTTCCGGCGCAAACTGAAAACTCATCTCTTTCGACTCCACTTCGAGCGTTAGAACTATTAACGAAGCACTTTTATACTAATAAAGGACTGGCTTACCTAAAGCCAGTTGAGTAGCACTTGAAATGTTTGGCTCTATGAAACCTGATGTACTTATATGATTCTGTTTTCTTCAAGGTGGTGTCTTCCTGGTCGAATGTACTTATTGTAAGTCGCTTTGGATAAAAGCGTCAGCTAAATGCAATGTAATGTAAAGTAATGTAATGTAATGTAATATATTCAGTTGCCAGTTTATTAGGTACAACTAGCTAATAGTAACAGTCTAATACAGTGATAAAATAAATCCTACCCTTATGAAGGTTATACATGTTTTTTTGTTGAAAGCATTTATGTCAACTGATTGGTTATTTTGGAGACGACGTTTCTAGTGCTGTAACATTATGTTGTGCAATGCTAATAGGCGTTTCCTTAAACCCACATTATGCACAAAACATACGGTTATTTGATGTGTCACTGATGTATTTTTCAGAAAACACATTTCTGAGAGAGGCAATTTGGGTAACGTTTATCTGTTCTTGTCATCAGGTGGAGCAGTCTGATGATCCAGACACAGAGGGCATCGCGGTCGGACTTCTCATGATCAGTGCCAGGTCAACAGACACCACGCTCTTCTGCCCAGAGAGGATCGCTGTTGTCATTGAGGGTAACGGAGTTATGGAACTCCCCACACTGGCTGACGCATTCATCCTGCTTTTTGCACTGACCTTTGCCCTGCATCTGAGCTACCCAAAAGACTTGGCCAACACTTTCGACTTCACCCAGAAAGTGTTGATGAGGGGAAATTGAAGCCCTTGAAGCCCAGGGTGTTGAGCCTGAAAAAGCTTTTGGCAGTTTAATCCAACCAACAAAGTTGTACTTTAACAATCACACACACACACACACACTGTTCTCCTCTGTTTACATCCTGCTGCTTTACATCTGTGTTCTGTTGTGTTCATTGACAGATTTGTTACTGTTCAGCCTCAAGTTGAAGGACTGTTCGTAGATGTTGTTTTATACTTTTATATGTATTGGGTCTTTATGGTCCATGTGTTAAATGTAATACGCAGAACTGTTCCTGAAAATTGTGTTCACTCATAAGTGATGGTTAAAATACACACAGATATTTCTCAAGGCCCTAGCACTGTTTTTAAGGTGTTTTTATTTATTTAAGAGTTAAATATATTGAATTTGTATTGTGCTAAAATGCATTGTTCTTTTATAGTGGAAATGGAATGTTGGCGATTTGCCAAAGCTGTTCAAATTATCAATAAATGCATTTTTATATATATATATATATACGGTGTGTTTGGAGATAATTCATTGCACTATTATACATTATTATTATATTCTATTTAGCCCAACAATATAGTTAATTTCAATCACTAGCTTGGGTCAAATAAACAACCCAATTATTGGTTTATATTAATTTAACCCAGTGATATAGTTAATTTCAATCACTAGCTTGGGTCAAATAAACAACCCAATGTATGGTTTATATTTATTTAACCCAGTGATGTAGTTAATTTCAATCACTAGCTTGGGTCAAATAAACAACCCCGCACATGGGTTAAATGATCCAGCCCAGCATATGGGTTAAGACAACCCAGCGTGTGTTCTGTCCTATAGTGACTCAGCAGCTGGGTTATGATTGGGTTATTTTTAACCCAGTTAGTTTTAAGAGTGTATGCTTCAGCCCTCCCGCTTCTGCTAATGTTGTTCATTTGTGTGTATGAATTATACGTTTTTGTTTTTGTATGATTTTAGTAGAATAAATAAATTTAAAAAAAAATGTAAATCTTCAAAATCGACCAAGGAGGGCCAGAGATAGGTCAAATCCACCCAAATGACTCCAGAAGTGGGTTTCTTTTGCTAAATCTCTCTACAAAGGTCCATTTTCACTTGTTTTGCATCAATCTTGATACAGGGTACTTATTATATGTCATGGTTTGGATTCCTAAAGCTTTTAGTCTACTATCCCATCATTCAAGGGTGGTTTTCACTATAAGTAATGTATATTTTTTGGACGGACACTATTTACATGTTTTTACTATGTTCAATCTCAATTAACTTTGAAATAAAAAAAATCTATATTGATTCTGACTGTTCTACATTCAACTCACAGGTTTATCATTGCTTTGAGAAAAAAGATTATTAATTTACCCCTTTTAGAAGTGAAGTTATGGTCATTTGTTCTGGGAATGTCATTTTCGAGCCTGAGACCTGGAAAACAGCTTCGGGGCTTAACAGGTTAATGCTAGAGTGGAAGTAGCTTTGCATTTCCTGTGTAATCCCCTGTACGCACATACCGGAAACTTAGGAAATGTCATCCCTCTGTGTCTAAAGTTTTGGGTGGGAAGAGGGAGGGAAATAAATAAAGAGAAAAGGAGCAAATTACTGCGAGCTGATGCTTAGTGATGCCTAACACTAATTACATTTTGCTGCTGTTTTAATGGAGTTTACATAAAGTCTTGTGGCAACAAGAGGTACCTTGTTTTAATTAGATTGATTACTGAAGCAGAACGCACACACAGTATTTTTGTTTAAAATATCAGTGTATTGGGATGTATTTGGGCAAAAGTAGATCACTATGTTTTCCCTGTAATGTCAATGGTGGCATTCTTGGAATTCCATCAAATCAGGGCAATGGAGACTGAACACAGTGTGATGTTTTGCTTTTCCACCGTGATAAACATTGGCGCTTTTATAAACATCTTTTGCTCCGCTGGAAGCTAAAGTGCACGTTGAGGGGGTCGAATTAAAAGCAGCTGAGATAAGGTCGATGTATGTGATTCGCTTGGAGACCCACCATGTGGTAGCAAGCATGTGAAGCTCCACTCCTGAGAACCAGAGTCTTTGATGTGTGCTCTAATTAACCTGCCTCCAGTCTTTGATCAGTATCTTTCATTAAGGCGTCATATGTTCTTACTTAATAAGTCTTCATGCGACACATATTCAAAGTTTGTGAGGTAGAAAGCCAGGTCAAGCCACACTCTCTGCCTTTAGTCTGATTTTGCCGAACCATTTTGTATGAAATAATCAGGCTTGGAGAATACTTGATTACATTTAACGGGATTACGTAATCAGCGTACAAAAAAAAGGTAACTGTATTCCCTTACAGTTACATAAAAAAAGAGATCAGATTACTGTTACATTTCTAAACATTTTTGGATTACTAGCAGGTTCACAATGTTACCAACAACTAAAAAGAGCATGTGTTTGTTGTAAAGGATCAGATGTTCTCTCTTCTCTGAAAACTGTACTGTTCTGTAGGCTAATACTTTAAGTGTGAATCTATACTTCTACTGCCTGAATCTGCTTTATGGTTTTCACTTTCTTTGCTTCATTTGTTCTGTTTTTAATTCATCAGGTGAACCTGTATGTTCATGAAATATTATGTCTGAGCTTAACTGTGTGTATTAAACTAAAACTGAGCATTTTCTGTCAGCTCAGATTTTACTTTGGCATTTTTAAACTGTACAATGTGCTCATTTCATTGTTGGTGTACTGTGTTACAGGCCCATCACTTATAATGTGGAGGGAGGAAGGCGGCATTTCACATTTTGTCATGGCATCTCTCACAACAGGTTCTAAATCTGCCCACACAGCACGTTCCTCATGGCGAAGACAGCCAGAGATGGTGGCATAGGTGTGAGTGGCATCACCTGTATACCACAGGTGTGGATGGTGGCCTGTTTCCGGCTGCTACCAAAGTGAAACGCCTGGATCTCGCGATTTAGCTTGCAACCATAATTTTCGGGGGAAATCAATATGAACACACAGTTCATCTCTAAGCAGAGAATGTTTTAATTCTCTTAGAGACCGGGTCTGGTGCAGCCAGTTAAACTGATGGCGTGTAAAGGCATCTAGCTTCTTGTTCAGGAGACTGAGAAGGTCTGCCGTCCTGCCACTCTTTTCAATCTTTTGATATTTTGCAGATGTTTTCTCCTCCACTGTAACAACAATCCTCTCCCACTGCTCCCATGTGATGATGTGGGCCCTCAAACTCCACTTCATTGTAGCAACACTTAGTACATAAGCGGTACATGCACTTCTGGTTGGTCGGGTCACAAACAATGGTTTCCAGAAGTTCCCGAAATGCTGTTAGTCAACAGAATGCCTTTCTGACAGAGTCTGTCAACAATCATTTTAAAGTTGTCATGGTCAAAGCAGCTACAGGTGTTTCGGTCGGACTCTTTCGCTTGAGTAACATAAAAAGGGCAGTATCTGAGGAACTGTCGATAGGAGACTGCATGGTGTTTCAGGGCGGTTGTATTGTAGTTGGGAGGTCTTTCAGAGAATGAAGAAGTACTCTCCTTTGGTGTTTCATTTTATTTTTTGTAACTGTGTCTTTCTTACCCGACAGCATGCGGCTATTTTCATCTCTACAGAGAAAGCCGACAACCCTCTCCTTTTTCTCCTCTGCAATTTTCTTTTTGTCTCTCTTCGCGTTTCTCACACTTACTTCCTTTCCTTTATTCCCTTTGAACTTATCAACTTTCCGCTGCAGCTTTTTTGCCTTCATTCTTTCACTCTTAAGTTCCTTCTTTATTTTGATGAGCTCAAACCTTAGCTTTTCCCTTTCCTTCAGCACTGCTTTATGTTTGCTGGTACTTTTCTGCACTGCCCTCACAGGAGTTGAGGATGCCTGTGGTCTCTCTAAACTTGGCTGCACAGCTATAGTCATGATCAGCAACAACCACTATGGGCTCTGGAGGGCCAATAAGCTGGTCATCTTCTATTGAATTCAGTGAGGGAGGAGTAAGGTTCAAAACTTCAGCAAGCAACCTTTTCTTCTCTCTGTACTGCCTCTGATACTGCTTCCACTTTTTCCTCATCTGCACCTGTTTTTCCCTGGACAGATCTGCGACTGGGATGTTTGTGATCTTTCCCTGTCTCTTTCTCCTTTGATAGCTAAGAGTAAAGATGAATAAAACTGTTAGTCCTATGTCCAGAGCCTTAATTCATCTTCCATTTTAACTTCACATCTCTCACTAAAACTACCCTTTTAGGAGATCTACATCACTGATGTTTTTGCTTTCTCATGAAGCACGTGTGTGTGTGTGTGTGTGTGTGTGTGTGTGTGTGTGTGTGTGTGTGTGTGTGTGTGTGTGTGTGTGTGTGTGTGTGTGTGTGTGTGTGTGTGTGTGTAGTGTACCTTTGCCCTCTTTTAGCCAGGTAATTTGCCCTTGCAGCAGGATCCGCATTAAGCCGCACTCTGTGGCGAGCCACTTTTTCTTTACTTGTAAGAGGCATCTATTAGGAGAAGAAGAGAGAGTTTGTTGTTTGCATACACACACAAGTTCCCATCTACATACGTGCATTATTCTATAGAAATGTGAAACAAAACAAAAATTTGATTTATAGATTTTGAAGTTCTTTTAGACTATATTTCAAGCTGCACATCCTATTATCATTTTAACAGTAACAACAATAATCATTTTGAAGTTATTCTTACTAATAGTATTATTATTATTATTATTAATAATAATAATAATAATACTATTAAACATTACAAAAGAAGAACTATTGTCCATACATTGATCAAATTACTCCCATGAAGGAAGAGGTCAAATGGAGTAACCCGGTTACACCACTGGACATTTCAAATTTAAACCAACATTTGCAGGCATTATTATGGACGACTATGTAAACACTTGACCTTGATTTAAATATTTAAAACTATTTTTCATATTCATTTGAATATTTTATGATCATCTATGTTTATTAACATTTTACTGAGGTCATACCATTTGACTTGTATTCTAATCATACTTGACCTTGACCTGAAAATGCTTTATTTTGTCAAATTTTAGAGAGAGTTACTAACCTTGACTTGTGGCAGTTGGGGTCTTCAGGGGTCTTTCTGTTTGACATCACATTATGTCACATGATCTTCTGGCTCAACATTTTCAAAATGGCTCCAAAAAGGGTGGTTACACCACTAGACATACCAGAAGTTTGACTTAGCTTTAATTGAACTATTCATATCTTAGACTGCACTGTAACTTTTATCCATGTACTTTTTCTTTTAATGTTTAATTGCACTGTAACTTTTATCCATGTATTTTTTCTTTTAATGTTTATTTTATTAGCTTTTCTTTTTAATGACTGATTTTAAATGCCATTTTCTTAATCTCTTTCATTTTTTGTAAAGCACTTTGAATTGCCTTGTGTTGGAAAGTGCTATATAAATAAACTTGCCTTGCCTTGCCTTACCTTAGCAGACATGATTCCCCATGTTAATGGGAATATTCAGAACTGCTATGTGTCTCTATTATTATTTGGTATTAAA